TTTTTTTTGGGGGGGGGGGGGGGGGGGGGGGCTACCCCTCTCAGGCCCAATAGCTTTTTTTAAGGTATTTTTTATTTTTTTTGGTAAAAAATCATTTTTTTATGTGTAAAAAAAATTTTTAGGCATAGTAGCCCGGTTTGAAATTTTGTAGCCCCGTCTTGAATCAAATCCTAAATCCGCCCCAATTTTACTTATAAGTATAAAGCACTTACTAACTGCATCTTCGGTCCCTTATAGAAGTAACTTCTTTCTTGCTTCTTTTCGGCTTATTAGGACAGTAAGAGCATGCCAAAAAGAAGCTCCATTTCATGCCTTGTAACTTAATCTTGACTAAAAAAAGCTGAATGTTTCTAAAACAAACTTATTTACTTATTAAGAAATAACCAATTAAGCTTAGCCAAACATGAAACATTCTTAATATTGGGTGAACGACAATGGACTAACCTTGTGGAGCTCAGTTCCAGAGAGGAAAGAGTCAATTTCAGGGAAGGACCAGAGCATTGGAATGGGCTCGAAGGGGGGCAATAACTGGAGATATTGGAACCAGGGCGATTGAGGGCCGATGCTCTTCTCGTACATTACAGCAATGGAGAGGCCCAAATTACCGCCGAGCTGGGACTCTTCGATGAGTTGGTGGGCACCAGTCGTCTTGACGGTAAGGCAACTCTGCTTGGGAATCCTCCCCACCACATCGCCCAGGCGCAAATCACACAAAGCTTCGACTGAGACAGAGAGTGATTCTGCCGATCCTTTGGCGATTGCGAGATGGAGTGCGTCGCTGCATTCAATGCCTTGACACTTCATCCATCGCTTGAATGCTCTCATTCTCCTATTATCAATCGTTATATGTAAATTTTACACTTAGTTATATTTTGTTATAGAAGTAGAACAGTGTCGACGGAGGGTGATTTACCTGGTGGCGGCCATTGAGGTGGGTCGCGGAGGTGCAGCCCACGGTGAGTAGGCGGTGCAACGAAGTCTGTGTGACGGTCCATTTGAGAGTTTTGATAGCCAATATTGGGCCAATTCGAGAGACACAGTGGAGCCCAATTGTGCAAATAATAGTCCAAAGTACGGGCTGTTGTCGGGTTTAAAACATGAGGAAATTACAGGATTCCAGGTATTTAAATATGTGAGTGTAAAAATAAGGTGCAAAATTTTTTTAATTAGAAATCAGGTATTATTTATACTCACACTACCTAATCCAAACAAACCCTAATCATTTTTTCATATTCTCAGATTTTTCATATCTTGCCTCCCCCATCCCTCCCTCCTTCCAACCTCTATCATCATTGAGGAGCACCGCCATCGAAGACATGAGAGTCGAGCGGAGGCATAGTTGCTGCGGTGCGGCGCCCTCGCGGACGGTGTTGTGAGCAATATGGTTGGTCAAAGTTGTCACCCAGTCGATCGGAGATCCGCGGAGTCAGCGCTCACAGCTGTATCATTGTGGTTGCTCTGTGCGACTAGCTAGTCAACGACGATGCAGCAGTGTCTCGATGCGCAGAAGTGTGTAGAAGCAGGTTTGTTGGTGCGATGTGAGTGGAAGTCGGTTTGTATTGGTGGCATGTGATGTGAGTTCTATGTTTGTGGAAGCTGATTTTGTTGGTGCTATGTGGGTGTTGTGGTGTGGTGCAGTGTGATGATGTCCGTATTTTTTGCAGCGACGGTGTTGGTGGTAGATTTGGCGACGACGATGGTGTGGTTCAGACTGCGATGATGGTTTTTTTTGGTGTGTTTGGTGGTGGTGGTGGATCTGGTTACATCGATTTTGTTGATGTTGATATTGGTGTTGGTGGTGGCGATGGTGGTGGCGACGAGGTAAGGGTGGTTGCAAGTGACTGTGGTGGTAGTGGAGTTGGTGGTGACCGACTATTTGACTTGTGACTAAAAAAGGTAAAATGTGACTATCACATTTGAAAATATGTGACCTGTGACTATAAATTTTTAGATTTGTGATTTATAATTTTTTAATCTGTGACCTCGACATAATTTGTGACTTATCAAATTTGTGATTTGTGACCTCGAAAAAATTCGTGACCAATTAACTTGATGATATATGATCGATAAATAAAATCTGTGACCTATAATTGTGAATATGTGACCATAAATAGTATAATTGTGGCTTTATTATCATTATTTAATAAATATTTTTAATTAATTAGCTAAAACCTAATTTTTGCACTAAAGAAACTTGTAACATGAATTTTGAATTGGGCATAGTTAACACTTGATTTATGAACTCTTCCCTTAAAATAGTTCATGGTAATTTCAACATAATGTCTCGGGGAAATTAGGCTTAATCAAACTTTTTATTTTTCAAAGTTCAAAAATTATGTCTTTGAAAAATATTTTCTCCTATTTTGTTAACTAGATTTTAAGGGCTTGTTTGTTATCAACGCTTTTGTACTTAAGTGATTTAACGTTTAAGATATTTAGGTAAGAAAATCGAGATGTTAAGATTTTTCATATAATTTTTTGGAAAGAAGTTGTAATGTAATGTCTCGATCCGCCGAAACTTTTGTCTTGGTGGTTAATTAACTAAAGAAATAGGGTTAGCGAGTCTATATATGAATCTTGATTTTGTAAATATTTAATCAGCTATGCTACCTGTATAGGCCCATTTGCACAGGCCTGTACAAGGGGTGTAACATGGGGGTGGTTAGGGGGTGTCAGCAAATGGGCCTGTACAGAGAGCTTTTTTCGTATTTAATTGGTGTACTCGTTTAAACAAACATAATCAAACTGAAGTATTAAGAGGCGACTTGTATATGCATGCTCCAATTTTAATTTATTTTAGGTCATAATTGTGATTAGAATATAAACAAGTTAACTTCAACTCTAAGCAAATAAAGGACTAAAAAGTTCATTGCTTGACACACAATAATACTATCTCAGCATGATCATCATGATAAAATAAAAAATTTCAAAAATAAATTTTTAGGCAAAGTTTTGAGATCCCCATATTGTATTCGCTGCAAATGTAGTAGACAATCGCTATTTACATGTGTAGAATAGCATAAGTGGAAAACTTTTTTATTCCCTCTTTGGCACGATTTCATTTTGAGAAGTAAAAAAGTGGTAGTTTTTAAGATTTTATTTTGGTTTATTATACTAATATCTTAGTTTTCTTATATTGCATCGTATTTTAATTGTACTAAAGGTCTTGTCTCATTTAGTAAATCGTTGCTTATTGTAACACTTTGTGTTCCTAACTTTTTACGTTGGATTGTCGTTTAACATTTCATTAATTAGCACGAATGATAGTTGATTATGGTTTCTGTTCGAATTTTATGCTTGCGTGTTACAAGTGATGGGCAACTATTTTATCACACACTTGTATTTATTATTTTTTGAAAATTATGAAGGATGAATAAGTCTTTTTATGAATTTTAACTGATTTTTTGGACAAAAATTATTAGGCCTTGTTTGATTGGTTCGAACAAGGTTAACAAATTCTAAGAATTATTGGCAAAAAATATTTTCTTTTAATTGACAATTCTTACGTAAAACAAAGTCAAATTAACATCTAAAGATAGATGGTTTTTTTTGTTTTTTATTTTTTGCAATGGAAGGAAACAAATTTTATTCCCAGTACCAATAAACTCTATCATTTTAATTGACAATTCGTATGTAAAACAAAGTCAAATGAACACCAAAAGATAGATGGTTTTTTTGATTTTTGATTTTTTTATTTTTTTTGCATTGAAAGGAAACAAATTTCATCCCCAATACTAATAAATTATATTCTTTTAATTGACAATTTTATGTAAAACAAAGCAAATGAATACCAAAAAAAAAAAAAAATTTTATTTCAACATTTTTTACGTGGAAAATTATATCAATCAAACACCAATAATTTACAATTATCATGAAAACAATTTTTTGACAATTCAATTCTTTGAAATTTATTTTCAATTTTATCTTTACAATCAAATGGCCCCTTATTGAAAACAAAATGCGCTATTTAATTGAATGTTAAATATAAGAATGAGAAGAAAAAAGTTGAAGAAATAAATATGACAATAACAGAGGTTGTAAACCTTTTTACCGCACCTAAAAAGTAGTCCAATTATTTCTAGTCCAACAAAAGAAATAATCAGTCTTCTACATTTAGCTTTCATAATTATCTATCACAAAAATTCCAAATGTAACCTTATGAATTAAATTATTTTCTTTTCTGTCATAAGTTTTTATTGGTATTCTAATTTTATAAATTTTGAGATGTAGGGTTTATAATTTCTGTCATAACTTTCAAGAAATCAAAATAAGTTGTTGATTTTTGATTTCTTGAGATTTAAAAGTTACTTTTGAACCCGTTTGACCAATTTCATAAAAGCACTTTTTTTAGTTAGAAGAGTTTTTAGCTTTGTTTAAAAGTACTTTTCAAAATATAATGTTTTTAAGAAATTAGTTTCTTAACAAAAATTAAGGTAACAGTCTCAAAAAACTCTTTTACAGAAAGTTCAAAAAAGGGTAAAAGCCATGCTAAACGAGTCATTAATAAACTTAATTTTTTGTTTTTTAATAAATTAAAACTTTCTTAATAATAATTATGGCGAACATAGTGTCTTAGATAAATAACTAATATTATTAAATATTGATACATAAAAAATATCATTATAATCAATATTCAGCTAATGATGATATAAATGCATAACAATTAAATACTTTTGTTTACTTAACACTCCTATGTTGATTTCGAAACTTTTATATAGAACATTTAATTAGGTGTTCTCTTAACTCATTACGACTCGACAGGGGCGGACTCACATGGGGTCATGTGAGGTCAAATGACCCCACACTTTTCTGGATTTTTTTTTTTTTTTGCTGAAAACTTAATTTTCTGTCCCAAAAAGTCCAAATTCTAAATTTATATCCATATCATATAGCCCATATCCATTATTTAGTCTATAAATATATCACAAAATTCACCGATTTCTTCCCAAAGTGCAAATATCGAATATGAACAGCAAACAACCGATTTTTCTTTTTTGTTTATGATACGTTGTTCGAAAATTTTTTTTTTTGACCCTACAGTTCGAATAGTCTGAATCCGCCCTTGCTTCTCGAGTATAGTTAAAGTCAACTACACTATAATCTACCGTTAAAATAAAAATAAATATAGACACAAAATGAGTTGGGATATAAAAGAATGATAATGATGGTCGAGGGAGGCCGTCGACGTCTTCACCGTGGATTTTCAAGCAGTGGGACATGGCAAAATGGGAATTAAAATATCTTTATTTTCTACTATTTTAAAATATAATTTTATTTTATAAACACCAAAATAAAATATATAAAATAAGATAAGAGTCCAAGTTGCTTAGTCCAAATAGTTATTTTTTCCTTTAAGCGGCATGCACATATTTGGTTGAATGCTTTTATATCCCCAAAGCGCCCACACAATTTTTCAAGCCCCTCAAATCGCTGCGCGCCCCAGTTTGGCTTCTTAGAGCACGCGAGAAACTGCGTGAAGAGGTAAAAATCCCAGTAAAAATTGCTCATATTTTGTGCAAAACCCATTCTTAATCAATATATGTAACATATGTACGAGTGGATCCCATCTCGGAATTGCAAATTTCTCAGTTACAATCACAAAAGCCGAGTCAGGAAATTTTTTTTTTTTTTTTTAATCATTGTTCGATTTTCTAAGACTATTTTCGATGTTCTTAGTGACAATTCTTCCTTAAACCGTGTATTTGGCGCTCATTCATCTAACCGAAGGTTACTTTTCGTTCTTCCCTAATTATACTTCTTTAGAACTTTATTTATAACTGGTATTTTTAATTTGATCTGCCTGTAGGTATATAAGTTTAGGTAAAAAAACTGGTTAGAGATGTAAAGCTTTAAACTTTATTTTGTTATTTTTACACGTCAGTTTTCCTCAGTTTATTTGGGTTATCAAAATAAATTGTTTTTTTGTTAATCAAATTCTTGTAGCTCATAATGCAGTGGTTTTCTTTTTTGATTTTAATTTTAATGAAATCGTATTTTGTGGGTTTCGACCCGGATCGTTTTGTGGTTA